GGTTTGCTGTAGTTACTCCCATGCAGACTGATTTTGCACTGAAAAAATCTGATAGAAAACGAGCAAAGGAAAGACATACATGTGACTAAAAACATGATAAGATATACATCACTACTAATGAAAGATGTAAATTAAAACAAGATGAAAATATGATTTTTCAAATAAGCAGAGCTTTAGAAAATGGACACAGGGGCACGCATTTGGAGCACTAGTTAAAACACTGCTTGGAGGCCGGCGCTACAGCTCACTAGGCTAATCCTCCACCTGTGGCGCCAGTACTCCAGTTTCTAGTCCCGGTTGGGGCGCCGGTTCTGTCCCAGTTGCTTCTCTTCCAGTCCAGCTCTCTGCTGTGGCCAGGGAGTACAGTGGAGGATGGCCCAAGTGCTTGGGCTCTGCACCAGCATGGGAGACCAGGAGGAAGCACCTGGCTCCTGGCTTTGGATTGGCACAGCACACCGGCCGTAGCAACCATTTGGGGGGTGAACCAATGGAAGGAAGACCTTTCTCTCTCTCACACTGTCTAACTCTGCCTATCCAAAAAAAAAAAAAAAAAACACTGCTGGGATGCCCTTATCCCAGTTTCCTATTCCAGCTTCCTGCTAAGGAAAGCCCAGGGATGAAACCCTCAGATGATGGCCCTGGTATTTGCGTTCCTGCCACCCACGTGGGACACCCAAATGAAGTTCCTGGCTGCCACCTGGCCCAGCCCCAACTGTTGTAGGCATTTGGGGAGTGAATGTTCTTCCCATATCTGCAAATCTTTTCTGTCTTTGTTTCTTTGTTATTTAAAAACAAATAAGAATTACAAAAATTAAAAATGACACACACTCTCATTCTTTTCCACTTTTGCCTTAAAATGGTTTTTATCTTGGGTCCAGTAATTTCTCTGGCAATTCTGAAAGAAACACATTATGGGAAAAGATGCACATACGTGTTTGTAGAACTTTTACTTCCAATGGGCTCAATTAGGAACTTGTGGTACAGAATGTTAGGTACCTACTAAAGTAGTCATTTAAATAGTCAGACTGTTACTGGAATGTTGTCCTCAGCTGTTTTATTCCAGGTTCTTGCCTCTGTATGAAATAGGACTTCAAAGCCGAGTCATAGGTAAAGTGCCAGAATGGAAGTAGTGTTTGTTTAAAGAGGTAGAGAGCAGGTACACAGTCACCTGTGCATGTGGGCAGTCCCTTGAGAGTCGCATGCCAAGAGGAGAGGAATGCACGCCCGCCAGTTCAGTGGTCCCCTGTGTTGGTAGTGTCGCTCCCCCTCTTCGTGGAGGAACGACACAGGACCCTGCGCTGTTCTTTCGTCTGCTCGGCCCTCCCCGGGTTTGCTGCTGGTTCTTCCCGGGTTGGCTACTGTCCCTTCCACCTCCGTGGAAGGGCAGTTCCCCCTGGCCACATTCCCCACTTCCGCAGGGGAGCGGCACACCGCCGGCCGGCTCTCTCGGGGGCTGCACAGGTGTTCCCCTTAGATGTTCCTGGTGCATGCCGTCTCTCTCCTCCTTTATAGTCCTCCTCTGCCAATCCCAACTCGGCTGCCCACACGCCGAGTACGCTGCTCTCCTCCAATCAGGAGCAAGTCCTACAGTTTATTGGCTGAACTGGAGGCAGCTGTGCAGAAGCTGTTTTCTTCTCTCCCAGCGCCATATTGTGGGAGAGCAGGTGCATAGAATAAGTCTTAATTCCAGTAACAGTCTAGTCCGAGCTGCTCCCCACAGGTAGGGGTGGTGCCCTAATTGAATATACACAAGGGGGTGAAGCCAGGAGCTTCATTTGGGTCTCCCAGAAGGTTGTCTGAGGCCCAGACACTTGGGCTGTCTTCCACTGATTTCCCCAGTGCATTGACAGTGCTCAGTGCATGTCTTGTCCTCTGGAAAGGTTTTCATGGCCCCTCCACGTGGAGCTCAGTGCCTGTGTGCATGTGGAGCGGTCTTCCTGATGGACGTGGTGTAGGTGCATTGTGGGAAAGTGGTGAGTTGTATTGGCTTACAAGTCCGGACACAGACGGTTGGAAGCCTCTCAGCTGCGTTGTTCCCCCGACTTCCTCCCTAGTCCATATCCGTGCCCTCCCCCTTTTCTTTTTCAAAGGACTTGTTTGAAAGGCAGAGTGACAGAGGGAGAGCCAGAGAGAGATCTTCCATCCACTGGTTCACTCTGCAAATGCCCCTAACAACCAGGCTGAAGCCAGACTCCACCCAGGCCTCCCACATGGGTGGTAGGGGCTCCTACACTTGAGCCATCATCTGGTGCTTCCCAGGCTCATTAACAGAAAGCTAGTTGAGAAGGGTGGAGTAGCTGGGGGTTGAATCAGCACATACGGTATAGGGTGTGGGTGTACTAAGCAGGCCATAATGTGTCCTACCTACTCCATTTTTTTAAAAATGGATTTTAAATGGGTTATATATTTCTAATGTTTTAACATAATTGTCTGTTTTATATAATTTCAGAAAAAGTTTACAGAAATTTCCCTCTTATCTGCAGTCTTGATTTCCATGATTTCAGTTACTGGTTGTTGACCATGATCTGAAAAGATTACATGGAAAATTGTAAAAATAATTCGCAAGTTCTAAAGTACATGTGATCTTAGTGGTAGGATAAAATCTTGGGCCGTTTCTGTAGGGGGGGTGAATCATCCTTTTGTCCAGCATGTATATACTTCTGCTCCTTCGTCACGTAGTAGCCATCTCAGTTACCAGCTTAACTAGCACAGTGCTTGTGTCCAAGGAACCCTTACTGTACTGGCCAGTCCCAAAGCACGGGGTAGTGATGCTGGCAATTTGGATACACGAAAGAGAGGCAGTATAGTTCCTCCCTTAAGTATCATCTGCGAGAAGAGTGTGTAGTACAGTAAGGTAAATAGAGAAAGAGAGAAACCATACTGACATAATTTTTACTATAATATATTGCATTTTACTAGTTGTTGCTCTGGCTGTGTCTGATTAGTTTTATTCTAGATGTGTTTGTGTGGAGGGAAAGTTAATATATACAGTACCACACTGAGTGTGTACAGTTTCAGGCATCCCCTGGGGGTCTTATCCCCAAGATGAGGAGCACTACTGGTGGCACTTGTTATGTGTCATTTAATTTTTACAGCAACCTCCTCAGGTACTGTTGTCATTTTACAGATGAGGAAACTTGGGCAGTGACAGACTGACTAGCTCGACCAGTCACACAGCTAATAAACAGTGGGGTTGGGAGGTGAATCCAGGTGGTCTGACGATACACTTCTGCCTTAACTTGTGCCTCGGCAGCTATGTCTGCAGCAGTATGAGGGATTCCAGTCTTGGGTTTTCTACAACAAAAAGCTTCCTGAATTTATGTCAGCTTGCTTCTTTCTGGAGGTTGTGTGGGCTCCTGAAGATGTAATCTGCCACATGGAAACTTTGACCCCGTAAGGTCACCATCTGTGGCTTTGCAAGTCGTGTGCGATGTGTGTTGTATTGTCTGTTTTCTTCACACTCTGGCATACAGTGTAGTGCCCGCAAACATTCCTACTCACGGGGACCCTGGAAGGCAGCAGGATGGCTCAAACATAGGCGGCAGGAATGCAGCTCTCGGAGCCATCACTGCCGCCTCCCCGGGTCCCCTGGAATCAGGAGCTGGAGCTGAGTTACTCGGACGTGATGGGAGCATCTTAAGCAGCTGTACGCTGACACCCACTCCTCCTGTGATTTTTTTGTCTTATTATTCTAGGATTGTTCTGATTCCTGTAAAAATTGTAAAAGCTTTTTGTCAATTTCTACCAAAAAAAATCTGTCATTTTGACTGGGAACCCATTGAATCTATCGCTCAGTTTGGGAAGAAAATTGCAGGTTTGTGAACGTGGTTTCTAAAATTTGTAATGTAATACGTCTGTTTCAGTCTTCCTTTGTTTCTCTTGTCCCTTTAACCATTTGCCTCCCATCAGACTACTCAAAATTTAGCAACTCTTAGCCATTTGTTACAAGGCTCAAAACTTGAGACTTGGTAATGAAGTGAAATTATCATTACATTTACTTCATGTATCATGTGTACCTTATGCTCAAAGTGAATGAGGGCTGCCATATAGTACAAAGCTTAATTTCTTCCAATTTTAGGTAAATAATAATACATAGATAAAAGCTCTAATATTTTCTTTTTATAGCCTAGTGGGTCATTTGAAATCATTACACTTACTGTATGAATTAAGAATGGTTTGGGTAGATATTGTTGTTGTAGTTTTTGTTTTTTTAAGTGTCAGGTGGCAGACATTTGGCCTGCTTGTTAAGATACCCATTCAGATGTCTGTGTCCTGGGCCAGTGCTGTGGCGCAGCGGGTTAAAGCTGTGGCCTGCAGCGCCAGTATTCCATATGGGCACTGGTTGGAGACCCGGCTGCTCCACTTCCGATCTGGCTCTCTGCTGTGCCCTGGGAAAGCAGTGGAACATGGCCCAAGTCCTTGGGCCCCTGCGCCTGCGTGAGAGGCCCAGAGGAAACTCCTGGCTCCTGGCTTCGCATTAGCTCAGCTCTGGCCCTGGCCCTTGCCATCATTTGGGGAGTGAAACCAGTGGATGGAAGACCTTCTCTCTCTCTCTCTCTGGATCTACCTCTCTGTAAATCTTTCAAATAAGTAAAATCAAATCTTAAAAAAAAAAAAAAAAAGATATCTATGTCCTACGTTGGAATACCTGGGTTCAGCTCCTGGCTCTGACCCCCTAACTTCAGCTTCTCTCCTAATTTAGACCCTAGGAGGCTATGGAGGTAGCTTAACTAATTGGGTTCCTGGCTCCCTCCGACTTTGGTCCTAGCTGGGGGACAGTTGCAAGCATTTGGGGCATGAGTTTTGTCTCTCTACTTACCGAGTGTTTTAAAAGAAGTGTCATACTACAGTATTTTGCATGGTATGAGTCTGGCAAAATTCAGACACACACAGAAAGAAATTACAGATTCTTATCTTGAAGTAGACTAATAAGCAAATTTAAGCGTAATATGTTTACATTTTCTTTGGTTTTGTAAAATAATACATTTTTGTCTTAACAGATATCAGACACCCTGAAGAACTTTCTCTGTTAAAAAAACCCCGGGATCCAACAAAGAAAAAAAAGAAAAAACTAGATGACCAGTCCGAAGATGAGGCACTTGAATTAGAAGGGCCACTTATCACTCCTGGATCAGGTGAGATTTGAACTAAGCAGGGGCCCACAGTGAAAACTGTAGATCATACATATCTTTTGGTAGAGGGTGAACAAACGTGTAGGTCAAGATAATGATCAAGCTTAAAAAAACAAACAAAACCACCTCTCCTTCAGTATCTTTCCCCAATGACACTTTCACCATCAGTGTCATTTATGTTTGTTATATGTAAATATCATGTCAGGTGTCAATAGTTGAACTAATAAAGCAGCCTGGTTCTCTTGTTTAGACCATCAGAATCACTAGACTCAGTTCTTTGAAGAAATTGGAAATTCTTTAGTTGTATGAGAAGTGAAAACCCAAACTATGGTTTATTTAATATATTGTTGCTTAACCTCTTATTTAAATTACTGTGCTTTGTAAGTGCTGGTTTCTTTGTCCCATCTACCTTTTTTCCTGTACTTTTTGAGAAATTTTCTGATTCCTGTCCATCACTTCCCTGGCTTGAATACCTAATTCCACTGTGCTAGGTGTTCTCTCATAAGTTGTGAGACTTAAGAAATTATGGCACAGTAAGATGAGCAGAGTCTAAGGCCATAAACTTTGTAATTTTTCTGTAACTGTTGTGTGCTTTCCTGTATCTTCAGAGTTATATGTTAGGAAAATAAGTGTGTAAATTAAGCTTTTGAGTCCCAGTGGCTTGGATTTTGACAAGAGGCAAAGGTAATCTAGGCAGAAAGATTGATACTGACAGCAAACATCCTGGCGAGAGAAAAATACAAGACATGTGAATCAATGACTTAGGTCAGTTTGTGAGTGCGAGACCTCCAAGGTACTTCAGGATAGCACTTGGGAAAGGTGTTCACTGGCAGGTTAAAGGATTTCTTTCTCTTTTTTTTATAGATTAATTTACTTATTTGAAAGGCATAGTTAGAGGGGAAAGGGAGAGAGAATCTCTGTCTGCTGGTTTACTCCTCAAGTGGTCAGGCTGGTCTGAACCTGGGCCAGGCCGAAGCCAGGAGCTTGATCCAAATTTTCCATGTGGGTGACAGGGGCCCAAGCGCTTGGGCCATCTTCTGCTGCTTTCCCAGGTGCATTGGAAGGGAGCTGATTGGAAGCAGAGCAGGCTGGATGGGACCCTGCAACTCACATGGGATGCCACTGTTGCAGATGGCAGCTTACCCCATTGCACCAGAACTCCGGCCCCATGTTGAGGAATTTAGACAAGTGTATTATAGAGCCATTGGTTTCTAATTATGTTACAAAATGAGCAAATCATTATTTTAGAAAGAGTATCCAGTTTGTTTCCAGTCGGTCATTACAAAGGAAGGAATGTGGAGAAGGGATTCTAAATAGTGTGAGCCCACAGGGAAAGGAAGTAGCAGGGAATGAAAGATGATGTCTGTGTGATATTGTGACATAAGAAACATAGTTTGGTCTTCCTGTCAGAGTTCCAAAAATTCTTGTAATTTCCTAAGTGGGAGAGCCATCTTTTGTTATTCATAGCAAGTCCCTTTCAGCAACGGCTGACTAGACATGAATGAGGTGACTCTTGGGAAGCCCCTAAGGACAGGAGCTGGTTGTCACAGGGACCAGCCTATGTGCAGAGGAGGTGGGGTCCTTTCCCTCCCCCTCCACCCACTTCCCAGGCTGTGTGGTGGACAGAGAGGGGCTGGAGGATGAGTTGATGACCACTGGACAGTTGTTTCAGCAGTCAGCCTGTGTAGTGAAGCCTCATTAAAAACCCAAAGCATGGATTCAGAGGACTTCCAGGTGGGTGAATCATGGAGGTACCTCGAGGGTGCTGTCCGTGGAGAGGGCCTGGAAGTGCCACGCCCCTCCCCCCAGCCTGCTTTGTGCCTCTCCTCCATCAGGTTGTCCTTGAGTTGTGTTCTTTTATAATAAGCCCATAATCGGATAAGGAAACTGTTCTGTGGTTCTCTGAGCCATTTTAGCCTGTTCTTTATCAAGGAAAGGTTTGGGGAACTTCTGGTTCCTAGCCAGTCAGAGGCTCAGGTGGTAGCATGGGCTTGAGACTGGCCTCTGAGGGGCCCTCAGTCTCTGGTTTGCACCAGCTTCAGGTAGACAGTGCCAAAATGGAGGGACATGGTAGGACACTCTAGTTGGTATCAGCAGATAGTTGAAGAATTACTTGATGGAGGAAAAACCCCACTCATTTGGTGTCAGAAAAGAAATACTGGAAATAGTAACAGAGAAGGAAAAAAGTTTTTCTTACAGTTTGTCATTAAAATAAGGGTTTTTGTTTGGTTGGTTTTTATTTCCTATTTAAGAGGCAGAAGGACATACACAGAAAAAGAGCTCGTATGTGCTGGTTGATTCCACAGATGCTCCCACAGTCAGAGGGTGAAGCGGGGAGCTGGGAGGTCAGTCCGGGTCTCCCACTTGGGTGGCAGGGCCCCAGCTACTTGAGCCAACACTGCTGTTCCCAGGGTCTGCATGAGCAGAAAGCTGGAGTATGTCTTCACTGATTTGATAGTTTAAATGGAAATCTATTTAATACTCAGAACATAGAGCCGCATGGAAGTTTTTATGGGGCAGATGATTTCAGAGTGGCTGTACTCAGTCAGGATTGGTCTTGGAATAGCAAATAAGAGGTTTTGTCCAGTGCTGTTAGGAAAGGTGATTTAGAGGTACAGGACGATGAACTACGATGAGGTGAAGCTGTCATACATGTTTCTACCCCGTCCATAATCCCCCTTCCCCAAATACCCACTGTTTGCTATCACCACAGATTATTATTGAACCTCATATGGGTAGGTTGATAACACTGTGTGCTGTCTAATGTCTGTGAAGTTACTATGCTTTAAATGAGGAAATTTTAAAAATTTAGTTTTGGTTGTCTACACTCAAGTTGTTTTCGAACCCAGTGTTTTTTTAAAAAGGCATTTGAGGATACTAAGAAGTTGATATGAAATGCTAAAAAAGTCCACCAGTGTTCTATGAAGGACTGACAGTCTGTAGAGGAAAAGTCCACTGAGTGCCATACCCCTGTGCAAAATAGTATTTTAAAATAAATGTTAAATTCTTTGTTTATTAAAGACATTTATTTGAAGGCAGAGTCACAGAGAGGCAGAGGCAGAGAGAGAGAGAGAGAGAGGTCTTTATTCCACTGGTTCACTCCCCAGTTGGCAGCAATGGTTGGAGCTGTGCCGATCTGAAAGCAGGAGCTGGGAGCATCTTCCGGGTCTCCCATGCGGGTGCAGGGGCCCAAGGACCTGGACCATCTTCTGCTGCTTTCCCAGGCCATAGCAGAGAGCTGGGTTGGAAGAGGAGCAGCTGGGACTAGAACCAGCACCCATATGGGATGCCAGCACTGCAGGCAATGGCATTACCTGCTACACCGTACCACCTGCTAATTATGATCAGTTGCATGTTGTGTTCATGATGAATAGCAGATGCATGTTATCTCAATGCACAGCTTCAAGATGTCAGACACTGGGGCCAGCCTTCTGGCTTAGCGGGTAAAGCCACCACCTGCACTGCCAGCTGTTGGGGCCATCTGGGAGGTGAACCAGTGGATGGAAGATTTCTCTCCCTGCCTCTGCCTCTCTATAACTCTGCCTTTCAAATAAATAAATAAACCTGAAAAAAAAAAAAGTCAGAGACTGGCCGATGCTTTGCAGGTGTTCCTCTACTGCAGCGCTGCGGTGAGGGTGAGGAGTAATCCTCATTTTACCAAGGGGAAGCACTCAAGTTTTCTCATCCTAGCATGCTTCTTGAAGTGCAAGCAAGCAGTTATGTTTAAAGATACATCAGAAGGTTTTTCCCCGCAACCCAAAGGGATAGTTTTTGGTTAATTTTTTTTAAGTCAGTTAAAAGAGCAAGAAAAAAGTTAATATCCTGAAGAGTGTATCCTAAAAGCATAAGTACAAGTAAGAGACAACTCCATTTTGTCAGCTAAAGACCTTTTTTTTCCTTTTGTTTTTTATAAGATGTATTTATTTGGAAGGCAGAGTGACCAGAGAGAGGAAGAGACTCCGGGTTCAATCCAGAAATGCTGGCAACAGCTGGGGTCAGAAGGCTGAACTTTATCTGGGTCTGCTACGTGAATGACAGGGACCCAAGTATTCGCGCCATATTTTGCTGCCTTCCCAGGCTTGTTAGCTGGAAGCTGTATTGGAAGCACAGTAGCTAGGACTCCAGTGTGAAATGTGGGGGTCCCAAGGGGCAGCTTATCCCACTGGGCCACACACCTGCCCCAGGGCCTTTTCTTGTACTGCTGTCTGCTGATTGATGTTCTGAGTCTTTTCTGCATAAACCACATCACGTGCTTTTTTATTTCTAGTTGTGGTGTCTTTAAAGTGAAATTTAAAGTATATAGAGTAAAAATTTAAAGTCTAAACAACTTAAATGCAAAGTCTAAAGCCGAGATTTTTACCATCTCTTCTTGTCTTTGCTAGTCTTCAACTGATTAAAAAAAGTTGGTTTAACTAGTCTTTTTTATTAAGTTCCCAGAACATTTGCCTTCAGTTGTCATAGGATCTACTCTTCTCTATTTTTCATTAATATTTCCCAGCTTTACTTTAATCTCAGATAAAAGTGACATAAATAGTTGGGTTTACAGAGAGTCATTTACAAGCAGCAGATTTCAAGGTGTTCCAGCAGATGTAGAGGGGAACAGTGAGGTGGACAGATCCACGGGCGAGTCTGCTGCATGACTGAGCTCTGTACTTCATCTGGTGCCCAGAGGTGGAGGGTGTATTATGGCTGTACATGAGATTTCAAAGATAACTTTGGTTGTACCGTTTTACTATATCCATTATTTTCAGAATCTAACCAACCTTTATTTTATTTTATTTTTTAAGATTTACTTATTTGAAAGGCAGAGTTTCAGAGAGGGAGAGAGAGAGAGGTCTTCCATCCACTGGTTTCACTCCCCAAATGGCCGCAGCAGCTGGAGGCGGGCCTGTCAGGAACCAGGAACTTATTCCTGGTCTCCCATGCGGGTGCAGGAGTCCAAGGACTTGGGCCATCTTCCACTGCTTTCCCAGGTCATAGCAGAGAGCTATGATTGGCAGTGGAGCAGCCGAGTCTCGAGTCAGCGCCCGTGTGGGATGCCAGCACTGCAGGCAGCGGCTTTACCTGCCACGCCGCAGCGCGGCCCCTCAGCCTTTACTTTAGGTGCTAACTTGCACCGCTGTGGTTCTTTGAGCTGTTCCCAAGCTGTGCCTGCGAGCAGCATCCTCCCCAGTCGGGCAGCTGCTCAGTGTGCCCTTCCTGGCTCCTCCCTCAGAGGCTTAACCTCGGAACAGCTTGAGTGCCCCCAGGGATACCTCATAATTTTCAGGAAGGAACAGCCATGTTTGTGTTAAAAGGTTGCTGTTAAAAATAACCACGTGTATCAAGCAGCTTCAGCCTACAACATGTGTGAGACCGTATTCAGTCCTCACAGCAGTTCTGAAACGCAGCGCAGCTGAGGCCCGTGGCGGGGAGCAGACCCCTGGGAAATGGCAGCGCTGACCTGTGAACCTCGTCTGTCCTGCTCAGAAGCCAGAGCCCTGACCATCGCACCGCACTGTACCTTTCTCTTTCGCCCTTGCTCTCTCGATGAGTACTACACAGATCCCTAATGTCAGTGGTTATATCAGCGAGCAGAGCCACAGACTAGCTTTTATTTAATTTTCATAGCTTTTTTTTAAACCATAAAGAAACAGGAAAATTAGTTAAAATTTCAATTCCCTAAGAGGTCTTTACACTGTATTCTACATATGTAGTGGCAGTCAGAATAGCTTCATGTCTCCAAATTAGAACCTGTAACCTTGAAGGTTTTATGAGTTTTAGACAGCACTTGGGAAGCTAGAATTTTGTTGCCCAAAACCATGAGCAAAGACCACTGTGTTTGAGAACAGATCTAATATGCAGGAAACCTTGAAATTTTTAGCTTACCCAGAAATGGCTAGGAGTACAAAAAAAAAAAAATCGTCTATTTATATTTTACAAATAAAATGGATAAGAAGCTACTGCAAAATTGGAAGCATTGGATAATTTTGTAATAGTTTATCCTCCTGTAGTTTATTGCTCCTATTTCACTTCACCTGTAGTGATAATGACAAAATGTGGGAAAACTAGCTATCCTGTTAGCTTAGTATATAACTTCAGCTAATGAATAATAGCAATTAAGTTATTAGCATCAGTCTTTTTATGTAATTCTTATGCTTTAGAGCTACTATAAATATTAGTAGTAATCTAGGACATTTTTGTTTGTTTGTTTGTTTGTTTGGCTTGCTTGTTGCTGTGGATTCATTCTGAGAGAAGTGCAGTGGGGGCAAGAGGCGCAGAGTCACGACACAGACACTGGGAGTCGGGTGAAAGCAGGCCAGAGGCGAGCAGTGCGCAGACTCGTTTATTTCAGTTGATATAGCAGCTTATGTAGCCATATAGCCGAGGCAACCAATCCGTTCAAGGATTGGTTTATGCCGTAACCAATCACTGCCTTTTGCCAGGTGGCTTCCGAAGCCATTTCCTGAGTAACTGACGCTCGCTCAACAGTGCCATCGTGGCACGGCCTTCTCATTCCACCACACTTGCTTTTTTTATTTTTGAGAGAAACAGAGAGCTCTCACGTGCTAGTTTGCTCCACTAATGCTTGCAGTGGCCAAGATGGGACACACCAAGGCCTGGAGTTGGGAGCTCAATCCAGGTGTTCCATTTGGGTGGCAGGGACCCAGCTGCCTGAGCCACCATCACTGCCTCCTACAGTGTGCACCAGAAAGAAGCTGGAGCCAGGTGTCGAACCCAGACAGCGTCCCAGCCAGCGTCTTCACCACTAGAGCAAATGCCTGCACGAAGGTGCTTCTGTTAGCAAAGTGGGCCGCAACACAGAACGATGAGATGGTGTGGTGGCATAGCTTGTAAAGCCTCCACCTGCAATGCTGGCATCCCATATGGGTGCCATTTCGTGTCCTGGCTGCTCCATTTCTGATCCAGCTCTCTGCTAATGGTGTGGGACAAGCAGCAGAAGATGGCCCAAGTACATAGGCCCCTGCCACCTATGTGGGAGATGCGGATGAAGCTCCTGGCTCAGTCCTGGCCATGTGGCTACTTGGGGAAATGAATCAGTAGATTCAAGACCTCTCTGTCTCTGTCTCTCCCTCTCTGTAACTCTGCCTTTCAGATAAATAAAGAAATCTTTAAAAAAAAAAACAACAAAAAATTCCAAGTTAGCCCTAGAGTTTGTGTCATTTTCTTCTTGGTTTATAGTGGTTGAAGGATAGCTATATATCCTTGATATATAAACAAAATAAGCTTTAGGAATTTATACTGTAGATGAAAAAATAGTCAGATAGGATTAAACAGACATATGTAATGTCACGCTTTCCTTCACTCACAGTCAACAATTAAACACAGTAAATCATGACTACTAGTTAACACATAATACTACTTTCACTTGATCCTCACAAAACTCCTGCATGTTGGTGGCGTCCCCATTTTGCTTCTGAGAAGAGAACCCTTCATGAGTTAAGTAATTTCGCCAGGGCTGCAAAGCTAATAAGGAACAGCTAGAATTCAAAATCGGATCTGTGTGGCTTTAGTGCTTGTGCTTCTAATCATTAGATAACCTCATCCCTCTAAAAATAATGCTCAAGTGTCTTTTGAGTTCTAACAGGAATTTAGTGCGTAAATTGTATCTCAGTAAAGCTTCTTCAGTGATGTTTGACGAGGTAAAGGGTCATGAGTGAATTAATGATTTCCAGAATTACTGATTCTCAGTAACATTCGTAAAAGGGATAATGATAAAATATGAGTTTTTAAATACCTTGCTTTGCAGGGCTAGTAGGTGACTTGCTGTCGAATGCTTTGCCGCTTCCTAGCCATAAGCAGGTCAATATCTAATCCCTATTTCTCTGAGAGGAGGGAACCAGTCGAACTGTTGTAGTGTTATTCCAAGACTGGGGAAAACCGCTTCAAATAACAGATCTTACAGCATAGTTACAGACTCACAAAGGAGCTTGGGCTAGGAGTTACTGTATACATAGCAAATGACGTCATTGGAAACTTTCTTTTAAGGATCTTAAAGGCAGCTAAACTTAAAGATCTGGATTCTAAACACTGAAGATAAATGTTCTTAGCACTGTCAAGATTCTTTAAGAGGGCCGGCCTTGTGGCATAGTAGGCTAAACCATCACTTGGGATGTCTGCATCGCATAGCAGAGTGCATTGAGTCCCATCTCTGCTTCAGATCCAGCTTCCTGCTGATGTACACCCTTGAGAGCAACAAATGATGGCTCGAGTACTTGGGTCCCTGCCACCTGTGTAGGAGACCCAGGTGACATTCCTGGCTCCTTGGTTCAGCCTGGCCCAGTTATTTAACCTCTCCATGCCTGACTTGCTCCTCTAAAATGAGAACAGTAGACTTGTTTGGAACACCAGATGAATACTGCCATACAGTACCCACAGAACACAGTGCAACAAGGACTTGGTAAAGCGTGACATGTGGACTATACAAACTACAGGAAGTTGAAGAGAGGATGGCTGATGGTACTAAGTGTGTGATTCCGGGTACATATTTTCTGTATTAAGAGCTTCTACACTCACTTCTGGAACAGATTTCCAATATGTCTTGACATTCTTAGTAAAATATATACTTAACTAGATCTTTGAAATAAACAACCAGATTCTTGCTGGTGTGCGTGCACACCTTATTGATTTTACTGTCTTATTTATTATACTTTCTGTTGCGGAGTTATTCTTTGCCAAGCCGAGTCCAGTAATGTTTTCAGCCCTTTTAGGGAACGTGGGATGCCGAGGTATCTCATTAACAAGGGTGTCACAACCTCAGGACTAACCCAGTGTTCTTTAAACCTTGAGAAAGAAGAGTTCCCAGTCCTCTTTGCATGTCAAACAATATTTAGATATTACAAGTTGTTTTAGTCCTGCATTGCAAGGACGCATATCACGGATGTCAAATCATATGTCCTGTGGCTGGCAAGAAATCCCGTTTTTTCCTCGTCCTAGACTAGGTCATGACGCCTACAAAGCTCCCTAGCATTAGCACCACTTTCTCCCAGGTAACTGGCATTGCATGAGGGGAGAGTCAGGAAAGGAGAGGGCGTCCTCCGAGGTAGGAGATGGAAAAGCCGTTTTCTGTCCGCATCCGTGTCACTGACACTGTCACGCCAGCACACATTTTCTTTTAAAAATTATGACTACAGGACAAAATATAATTTAACAGTTAAGACTTGGGGTATGTGCTTAATGACATTCTATACTTTATTAGACGTCTTAGAAATCTACTTAGTTTCTATAAAATAAAGGAAGTATATCATTGGTTGAGTGATTTGACAAATCTTTATTTATGAAGTGTCTACTGTATGCCTAGCCCTATAATAATGAGGGACTTGGAAGATAAAAATCTCTGCCTTCAGGAGTGTAATTATAAAATACATCTTTCTTGGTCTTTTTCTAGAGCAAAATGTTGTCCACCCTGTCGTATTAATGCTTTAATCTAAGTATATTGAAACCAGTTTCACTATTCAGTGAGAAACATTAACATAAAAGTGTTCTTTCTGTTTATGTGAATTTGTTCATTACATTGAGCCATCATAGGACAAGGTATGGATTCCAGATGGTAGCCCGTGTTATAAATACATTTGTCACTGTATGCTGGCCTAGAGTACAACCTCGTTCTTTTAAGTTGGACAGAAAACTTGTTTTACTTAAGTTGTAGCACTATAAGATTCTTTACTCTTAAATGTACCTAAAATATATACTTCAGTTAATGATTTGCAATTAGGAAGAACCTTTTTCTTCATTTTCCCGTTTTCTTTTCATTTCCATTCTTTTGTTTCTGTCCTCTATCGTTGCCTTTCCTGTACCTCTGAACTCCTCTCTTTCCTTTCCTGTAGGCACTGACGTTCTTTACATTGGCCCTCTGAAAGGTGAGCCTTGCACAGTTAAACACAGGTGTTGGTCTGTCTGCTGCAGCCGTGTCCTTGTTTTCTAATTCCTGTGAACTGATTTTTCTCCTTAAATTTCTGCCAACTTCAGTATTCTCATGGCTTTGTAATTACATGTTCTAATAGTATAGAAGTGGAGTTAACGTCACATGTTTCCAAGACAGGTAAAGTAATGTACTATGCTTTCCTATCAAAACAAAGCGTATGTTTCACTGTGTGCCTTGCATCATAGTGTGTGTTACTGAAGACTAAGATTCTGTACTTCATACTTACTTCCTCTTTCATGTTACTTATTAGGTAGTATATATTCAAGCCCAGGACTGTATAGTAAGACAATGACCCCCACTTACGATGCTCACGATGGAAGCCCCTTGTCACCAACTTCAGCATGGTTTGGTGACAGTGCTCTGTCAGAAGGCAATCCTGGTATACTTGCTGTCAGTCAGCCAATCACATCACCAGAAATCTTGGCAAAAATGTTCAAGCCTCAAGCTCTTCTTGATAAAGCAAAAATCAACCAAGGGTATGTTTAGCATGAAGATACAATTGAAGAACTTCTTACTCCACGTGGAGGCAGAGTACTTAAGTAATTCTGTCTTGCTTTTCCCCCTCCTCTTACCGATTTGCCCAGGTGGCTTGATTCTTCTAGATCTCTCATGGAGCAAGATGTGAAGGAAAATGAGGCCTTGCTGCTCCGATTCAAGTATTACAGCTTTTTTGATTTGAATCCAAAGGTACCAAGGGCTTTAAAGGGACAACTTTGCTCTTTTGCTTGTTTTCTGATCATTTTGGATGTTTGTTACATGTCAGTATTGAGTAGGGTGAGGAATTGTTTGTGTATGGCAAGAGAAGAATGCTCTTAGGCACAGGCTGTGTTTCCAGTAAGTATTGTCTTGTTTGATTAGTATTTTAAAGATACTAGTTCCTTGATACAGAATTGGTAATGGCAGTTTAATTTAACCCTGAGGTTTAACTGTACTTTGAAAGAAAGTTTTCTGGAAAATGACGTTTTCAGTTGCTTTTAGATGACATTATATGCCAAAAGATCTTGCTTCATATTTTTTTATATCACATGCCTTTTAAAAGTATTTCTTCCCAATTTAGTAGCCAAACAGTGTGACCTTTTAAATTTATAATTAGCATCATTTTTGCCACTATTTTGGTAAGATTTTAACTTTGTTACAAAGATCTGGTATTTTCTCACTTGGAAAACACTTGGCACAGCCTTTTGGATCTTTCATTACTTTCATCCTGGGGGAAACCTCTTGTATATCTTCCCAGCCTTTTCATGCCTAGATTTTAAAGCATGTATTTATCATCTTTTATTATATACTTAATATTTTGTATATAATAATAAAATGTTCAGGTCACATCAAAGCTACTTTCAGTACAACTCAACTAAAGTTGTTTGGGAAACAGTTACATTTATGGGACAAGGTTTCTTTTTTAACATTGTTAGTATTAAGATGTTACTATTGATTTTTATTAATATAATTAAATGGATAATTCAGTAACATATAAGTAAATCTACTTTCCACAAGTATATATGTACCCTCTGTTTGGAAAAGTTAAAATATTTGCCAAGGACAGCAAGGAAGATTGTTTATAAAATGATTAATTTACCCACTGATCGCATTTTAGTTTGGCCAGTTACAGTGACATTATTGAAAAGCAGTCCTTTACTATCTTCAAGTTAGATTTCTTATATTAAAGTTATAATATTTAGTAGCCATTTCCTTGGAAAAATAGCATGTAGAATTTTTTTTTAAAGATGTGTTTATTTCCATGAAAGAGTGGTAGGGAGGGAGGAGGAGGACAAAGAGAGATGTTTCATCTGTTAGTTAGTTCCCCAAAGCAGTGGAAGATGGCCCAGGTGCTTGGGCTTCTGCCAACAGTGTGGGAGACCCAGTTGGAATTTCAGACTCCTGGTTTATGCCTGGACCAGCCCTGGTCATAGTAGCCATTTGGGGAGTGAACTAGCAGATGGAAGATTTCTCTCTCTGCCTTTCAAATAAATAAGTAAATCTTTAGGGATAAAAGAAGAAGAAGAAATTACCTTCTGTCGTGTTTTAATGTCATTTTTAATGGAAAGTTAGATATGAGCCTGTATATGTATATCTAACACTATAACTAACTCATAATCAAGTATTTGATAATGATTAAAAATCTCAGAAAAAAAAGTATTATATTTTCCTATCAAGCTTTAAAAGTGAATAATAAGAGTTGCAAAACTTCTTAATGTGAAGGTGAAATATTACAAAAGAACTGATTATTGTTTGTTTGTTTTGGGGCACAGTATGATGCCATTCGAATCAATCAGCTTTATGAGCAGGCCAAATGGGCTATTCTCCTGGAAGAAATTGAGTGCACGGAAGAAGAAATGATGATGTTTGCAGCTTTGCAGGTACTTGAAAGACTGTGGAGATGGGGCTGTTGGGAGAAAGGGTAGGAGGATATTTTTATAGTGAAGTGGCATAGTGGGGGTTGGCGTTGTGGCGTATCAAGTGAAGTTGCCACCTGCAATGCTAGCATCTCGTGTGGGCGCCAGTTCATGTTCTGGCTGCTCCAGTTCTCTTTAGCTCCCTTCTAATGGCCTGGGAAAAGCAATGGAAGATGCCCCATTAGACCCCTGTCAGCCATGTGGGAGACCTCGAAGAAGCTCCTGGCTTTGGCCTGGCCCAGACCTGGCCACTGGGGCCACCTGAGGAGTGAACCAGTGCATGAAAGATCTCTGCCTCTCCATCTCTTCTCTAACTGTGACTTTCAAATGAGTAATTTTTTTTAAAAGTGGGAGGGGGCATAATAATTCTAGTAATGTTTGGTAGATATTTATTTTTTACTATATAGAAAATAAGACACTTAAGCAAAAGAAATAAATGAATTTAGTTTTACTTTTTGTCTTGATTTTAGTGATATAGTTAGTAGTTTTAAGTTTCCTCCCATCCCCAAATGTATTAGCTTAAAGCTACTCAGTTTTCCCTTGAAAACATATATATTAAAAAATCACACTTCTAAAATGAAGCTTCTTTACATAATTTCATAAATAACTGGAAGTGACCAGTGTACTAAGCATAGATGTATTTTTAGAAGAATAATTTTTTTTAAGATTTTATTTATTTGAAAGGCAGAGTTAGAGAGATCTTCCTTCCACTGGTTCACTCCCCAAATGGCCTTAATGGCCAGGTGAAAGGCAGGAGCCTAGAACTCCATGCAGGTATTCCATATGGGTAGCAGGAGTCCAAGTACTTGGGCCATCCTCCACTGCTTTCCCAGGTGCATTAGCAAGGAACTGGATCAGAAATGGAGCTCACACTCATATGGGATGCTAGCAGCATAGGTGGTGGCTTAACCCACTGCACCATGACACCTGACCCCAAAAAAGCTCTGAGCTCTGTCTTCTAAAAGCATTTTATGTGCCAGGAAAATTTTTCAGTTACAACTCTTTAAGAATTCTGTATTGTTTCTGCGTGATTCAGACTGTCTTGAATTAAAACACTGGAGTCATTTATTGGGAGCCCTCATTTGGTTATAGTTTTCTACTTATATCCCTCTCATTTTGAAGGTGGGCTCATAATTTTCTGGTGGAAGTTTCGCCAATCACAGGATAATTTTACGTGTGAAATATATATGTGAAAACCATAGATTTTATTGTATAGTACTGCTTTATCTTTTAATTTTAAAAAATGTGTTTACTTTTTTTTAACACAAACAACATTGTCTGTCACGTAATAGGTCCCAAAAAGCAGACTGAGCACACATACAACATGTGTTTTCTTAGGAATTGCATTTCCTGCAACTCACCCCACTTGGTAACACCAGTATAGCGGGTTTTCCCTAGCTGATTCACTCCTCAAAGAGCCGAAAAGGCAGGGCCTGTCCAGGCTGAAGCCAGGAGCCAGGAACTCCATCCTGGTCTCATGTGTGGATGGTAGGGGCTCAAATGACTTGGGTCATCATCTGTGGCTTTCTCAGGCACATCCTCAAGGAGGTAGACCCAAAGCAGATTAGCCAGGACTCCAGCCAGCATTCTGATACAAGATGCTGGTGGTGCAGGTGGTGGCTTAACTCATCATGCGATAACACCGTCCCTCACTCAGTCTTAAAGCACGGAGGAACAGTAATCGCTGACCTTAGATTACCTCATTAAATGTCCCTATGAATAGTGAATGCATACTTCAGAATTTGTGGTGCTGTGTACTGCTTTGACGGGTAGCTGATTGAAGTTACAGGGTCTGCATAACACATCTCCAAGGCGTAACATCAAAATCCACATGTGGGGGTGGTTATCTGTGCATATTCTACATAGTGTTCTATCTACATTCATTCCGTAATCACTGATACCAAGTCTTTAGACATAAAGAAGACTGCACTGAAGGAAAAAAAGGCAAAAATCTCTGCTCATTGGAGATTCATGTTGACCTATGAACTTTCTTGAGTCCTGGAATGCATATATCCACTCCAACCCCCCAAACTATGAATTAATTCACTTTGTCCAAAGTTGCTGCTGCTTTTGGATGAAGATTTATTAGCAGGTTTAGGATGTTGATGTCAGGTGCTGTGCCCTTCATCTTCCTACCTTGACAGGTGCTGGACTTTTATCTTTTCAAATTGGACAGTGAAAAGTATTCAGTATAGATTCAAATGGTAATTTTACAACTGTAGCAGCCATTTTAATAAAATGCCATTTCTGATTTCAGTATCATATCAATAAACTGTCAATCATGACATCAGAGAATCATTTGAACAACAGTGACAAAGAAGTTGATGAAGTGGACGCTGCTCTTTCAGACCTGGAGATCACTCTGGAAGGGGGCAAAACATCAACAATTTTGGTAGGGTGACTCTTCTAGCTACTCGTTTAAATTGATGCGTACCTTTTTGTGGATTTAGGTCCTCACAATGTATTTGGCAGGACAGAGAGAAATGTAGAGTATTTAAGTGCTTGAAGAAGTCAGATGCTGATTTTTTTCCCCCAGGAACTTTGAGGGAAATATTGTAGAAGTCCTGTTGTACTTAGTCTCAATGCTGCCAACATAATGTAGATCTCCTGATACCCCTGCACGTCATTTTACACGTGGTGGGAAACGCGTAATCTCAAGTGACAGTAAGATTCACTTAATCTGCACATTTGAAATAGTGTAAGAAAAAGGAAAAAATAGATCTCAGGAAAGTTGTTACATGCTGTTTGGTTTCAAAGCTTAGAAATCAGCTATTGCTGAAGAAATATTTTTCCCAGGATTGTTAGGATTTGCAAAGTTTCTGCATGCAGATACACTAGAAGTAACAGTTTGTTCTTGTGGGTTATGTAAATTAATTACCACTCCGATCAAAGGAACTTTTTGTGCTATTTGAAAATGCCTTTGTGCCAAGAAGGATATATGTAGTCCAGGTTTTATGTAGTTCTGCTTATCAGTTAAGTGGCAAGCTGGTTCTTGATATCAAATATAAAATACTAGAAGGAACTTCAAATTCCACCTAAAACAACTGAGAATGTGATTTACCTCTTCCCCAGGGTGACATCACTTCCATTCCAGAGCTTGCTGACTATATTAAAGTCTTCAAGTAAGTACACACGATGGGGAGGATCCCAGCTGTTAGTGACTGGCAAATCAGTCCCTGGAAGGATTCCCCAGTTAGATCAGCACTAAATTGTAATGAGAGAAAATAGCCATTTTACCAAATGGAACTCACAGTACCATGGGACAGGTGTTTGGCCCAGGGGCTTAAGTTGCCTCTTGGATGGCCCTCGCCCATAGTGGGTGCCTCATTCCCCATCCTGGGCTTCTGATGCAGATTCCCATTACCCACACTCTGGGAGGCAGCAGGTGATGGCTTAAGTACTGAGCTTTGGTCTGGCCCAGCCTTGACTGTTGAAGGCAACTGGGGAGTAAACCAGCAGATGGAAGATTTCTGTCTTTGAAGTTAAATGAGAGTAAAATTTTTAAAATCACGGTATTCACTGTTTTATCTGGTAAACATTTTTCATAGATTGGGTTGTGTCGTGTAGATGCTGAAACCTAGTAGTGAGTGGCACAGCCCCTGTGGGCACGTGATGAGCCAGTAGTGCAGTTGGTGTTCCTTGTTCAGGGCCCCAGGTCCTGTTACCTAAGGTTCCATTTTACCTGATTTTTTAAAACTAACAATCCTGCTATATTCCGTGGAATGAATCAAGAGAGTTGGGCATTAAGGCAGAGAGGTGGACAAGAAAAGGAGGTGGTGTGTAAGTTGATATCCGTATAAGATATCAACCATTATGAAATAGCCATGTACTGTAGCTGGACAGGCAGCAGCTCCAAGACACTAACATTTCTGAGAGAAGGGCAAGACTGCAGGTGCCACTTACGCCACCCCGTTTCCCTTCACCTTTACATACCTTTTTCTGCCTGTGACTGGCATTGGAGTGGCAAGTTAATGTCACCATTGCAAAGTGTCCCTCACTCCCAGTCATGCCAGGTAGACTTCACAGAGGCTCCAGAGGCAATCGGTAGACACCTGGAAACGTGCAAGGAATTGTGGGACCTGGAAATCTTCCAGTTATTGATATGTACAGTGCTTTTCCTTTTCTATCTCTGCCTCCGTGTGACATGATTATGAGGGATGAGATGGCTATGACTGAGAAATTCTATAACGTAGGTTCCCTTGTCTTCCTCCTCCACTGCTCATTGTTGGTGGGATCTTCTCGAGTAGACTGAGAAGTGAAGGCACATCCGATAACAGCAACATTGAACAAAGACAGACACTGGCCAGTGGGACTTGAACTAATCAGGGCGGAGACACAGCCTTGGATTTTTAACATTGTGAAACTAGGTATCAGAGTGACTTTACAGTGATTTTTCTCTTATTTCTATGATGCGTAGACCAAAAAAGCTGACTCTAAAAGGTTATAAGCAATATTGGTGTACCTTCAAAGATACGTCTATTTCTTGCTATAAGAGCAAAGAAGAATCCAGTGGCACACCTGCTCATCAGATGAACCTCAGAGGTAAGGAAAGCTCTGAATGACCTGTGGACTATCTGTTGGCCTAATATTTATTAAATTCTCTTATTCGGGTGTGAGGGGAAGGGCAGGAGTTATTCAAGCATCCCTGTTTAGGTCTGCTTTAAATATTGAGATGTGTTTGTACTCTGGTCTTCCTGAAGTTGAGTGTTCAGTTCCACATAAATATTTTTTTGCAATCTTTGTGTGCAGATCTGATTTGAAATATGTGATTGTGCTTTCCCTAATTGTCAAGTAAATTTACGGTGTCTTCTCTGATCGTCAGCATTGAGGGCATTTAGGTTGTCCTCATTCTGCATGGGTGCTTCAGATTCCACCCATTTTCAGCCGTGTTAGAGTCATCTCCTAGGCTTTGCTGGTTTTTCCCTGTTGGCATCTTGCTTCTCTGCCTCACCTCCACTGAAACAGGCTGGTCCCTTCGGCACCCTCGGGGTCAGTCTCTTTGATTTCTTGTTGTCTTTGCAAACGCTAGCACGTGTGAGGCACCTGTTACCTTTGCCGTGTGTCTTCCTGCAGTCTGAGCTTAGCCTGCAAGAGGGCTCAGCTCTTGGCTTTGTTCTTTTTTTTAAAATTTAGGTCTGGGGAGTTAGAGCTTTACTTCTTAGCTTGTTATTTTTATTTCCTGTTTTGGTGGCACTCTGTGCCTGCACCTCTGTCATTTGGCGGATGCATTGGTTCAGGTGGCGGAAGTTACTCCCCGGGTGGATCTGGTTCCGCCGGTGTATGCCGTGCTGCTGCTCACCGAGATGCCTCGGCAGAGCCTCTCGCTGGGCACGCACACGGCTGCTACTGTTACTCAAGTCACCGGGTTAGCAGTTAGGAGGGGCGTCTCCTGGGAACCACTCTCCTGGGGCCTCCCGCAGTTCTTCCTGTGCCCTTGACGTCTGGCGTGCTTGCAGAGCACGCAGTGGGTTGGCTCCTCATGGTCGAATCCACGCTATCTCCATTATGGCAAAGGCTGCAGAATTAAAGTGCATTTTCCAGGTGCCTTTCCAGTGTGATTGAAATGGCAGTCAGATGCACTCATGTGAAGCCTGAATTCTGAGCTGAGTAAGGGGTTGGAGAACGAATGGAGAGAAGTGAGGTGATTCTGGGCTCTGGGCCCAACAGCTGCACCTGCTGGAATTCATTCTGAGGGGTTATGCCTACTGTCTGGCCCCTCTCTACTTTCTCTGGATTTTGCCAATAGCTACAAGGGCACTTCTGAAAGTGTGTAGAAAATGGATAAGTTTAGTTTGGTGTGAAACAGTTTTTGAAGTCCATACTTATTATAATATGAAACAATGGTAATAACTAACAGCATTCGCATTAGTGCAGAAGCATCAAAGAAAATGTTCTTTTTTTAAAAAAAAGATTTGCCGGCACCGCAGCTCACTAGGCTAATCCTCCGCCTAGCGGCGCCGGCACACCGGGTTCTAGTCCCGGTCGGGGCGCCGGATTCTGTCCCGGTTGCCCCTCTTCCAGGCCAGCCCTCTGCTGTGGCCAGGGAGTGCAGTGGAGGATGGCCCAAGTGCTTGGGCCCTGCACCCCATGGGAGACCAGGAAAAGCACCTGGCTCCTGGCTCCTGCCATCGGATCAGCGCGGTGCGCCGGCCGTGGCAGCCATTGGAGGGTGAACCAACGGCAAAACGAAGACCTTTCTCTCTGTCTCTCTCTCTCACTGTCCACTCTGCCTGTCAAAAAAAAAAAAAAAAAAAAAAAAAAAGATTTATTTATTTGAAAGTCAGAGTTACACAGAGAGAGAAGAGACAGAGACAGAGAGAGAGAGAGAGGTCTTCCATATGCTGACTCACTCCCTAATTGGCCACAGTGGCCAGAGCTGGGTTGATCCGAAGCCAGGAACCAGGAGCCAGGAGCTTCCTCCTGGTCTCCCACATGGGTGCAGGGGTCCAACCACTTTGGCTGTCTTCTGTTGCTTTCCCAAGTCATAGCAGAGAGCTGGATTGGAAGTAGAGCAGCCGGGACTCGAACTGGTGCCTCTCTGGGATGCTGGCACTGCAGGCAGTGGCTCTACCCACTACACCACAGCACCAGCATAGAAAGAAAATGTTCTAGGAGTCATTGCATAAAAATGACTCCTCAAATAATTTAGCTTAAAACACATGTACTTTTGCTGATCTAAAGTTTTAATTTTTCTTAGTATATTGTCCACTAGAATATTGTATTTCAGCAACATACCCAAACATGTAAGCTACTGCGTCAGCTCTGCCTAGTCATCATCTGAGCTTTCGCTTTATAGTTACACATTTTAAAAACCACAAAACCTCTGTCCTGGGGAGAGGATTGCTGTTTCCTTATGTTGGAGTTCTGTGATTTGCCCAAAACTTCTCATTCAGCTCGCCTCCTTCCCCTCCTGGCCACAGGAGTTTCACTTTTGCGTTTTGACCATTATTCATTACTCTCAGAGTCTGCGTAGCTTCCTTCCTGCTTCCCTCTTGGGCTGCCCGGGACCTGCTCAGATGATCCGCTCTTGCCTCAGACACTTGACTGTGTCTTCCGGCCTCATCGTCACTGACTCTGTTTTGTTCTTAGCTTTCATCCCTTGTAACCACGAAGTCAAGTGCTGGTACGGAGCGATAAGCTGGGTGCTGAGTTCTTGCCAGTCTCCTGCAGGTGCCGTCATCACAGCACATCAGTGACACTGCCTTAGGAATCCCAGCGCCCAGACTCTGCTGCTAAGCAAGCCCTGTGATTTGGGGAAGCCAGCCGGTCTGGGCCTTGGTGTCCTCCTCTGAAAAGTGAATGTTAAACTCTGATTAAGGCCCCTTGGGGGGATTTAAAATGCAAACATTTTAAAATCAGTTCCGCTAACATTATTAATCCTGTGCTGCAAACTGTGCGAGGTCCTAGACAGACAAGAACGAACGAATGACAGCGCTCACCCCACGAGGTTCAGAGGGCCGAGGGCTCAGGATTCTGTGTACGTTAGTCCTCGGTGAGGGGGGGGAACTGCCGGGGAAGTGATGTGAGAGTTTGGATCTGCAGAGAGATCAGCTCTGTAGAAGGAAGGGAGGGGAAGCCTTCCAGGCAGAGGCTGGCGGGGAGGGCTGAGCGCCTCCAGGGGCGGGTGTGCTGCCGGGACGCAGCCCGAGAGGGAGGGCGAATACTCCCCCAGCAGCTACTGCAGCATTCCTGCTCACAGGAGGACAATTAGGCAGGAATTGGGTGGTAAAAATGGCAGGTGGATGTTTTTTTTAACTGGTAACAGTGCAATAACACTGCAAGAGTGTTAACACAAAAGTGGCAGGATCTGCACTTCTCCTGGCTGTACAGAGGGGTGATTTGAGAGAGACGATAATAATCCAGATAACGGTAATCAATATGGGAGAAGTGGGGGGAGGAGAAAACTCAATCAAGAGGATGTTCACTCCACAGACGGGGGATGGCGTCGGCAGGAGGCCAGGGAGGGGAGAACATGTTTCTGGCTCGTGCAGTTGAGTAGAGAGCATGATGCTGAGATTGGAATGTAGAAGAGCGAGCTGGGTATGAAGGGAAGGATGATGAGCTGGACTTTGAGATCCTTTAGGTGCCTGGGGATATCTCTTGGGAGTAAAATCTGGATGGTTGGATTGAGACAGTTAAGGTTTTGGGAAGTGGCTATAATGCAAAGATGGCGGGCGAGTTTAGGGAGCTGGCTGTGTTGTGTTGTCTGGCGAGTGGGTTCCTGGTTCTGTTGGGAAGAAGGGAGAAACAGACACGGGGAGAAAGTGGAGGGGCCACAGGCCGTCAGGTATGAAGAAGATGGGCCTCTGGCACAGTGGTTAGGAATGACGAGAACGTCCACACGGCACATCGGAGTGCCTGGGTTCAAGTCCCAGCTCCGCTTCCGAGTCCAGCTTCCTGCTGCTGAATACCCTAGGAGGCAGCAGTGAAGACAGCTCAAATGGTTGGGTCCCTGCCCTCCATGAGGAAGTTGTAGGTTCCTGGCTTTTCCTATTCCCAGTTGTTGGAGGCATTTGGGAAGTGGACTAGCAGATGGAAGATCTCTCTTTCAAATGAAGTTTCAAAGCTTTTAGTTTGGAAAGCGTCAGGATGGGCGAGGGTCACCAGGAGGGGCTGTTTGCGTTCAGCGCTACAGAGCCGAGTACCAGCAGCAGTGTGGTGTGTTGCTGTAGAAGCAGGCAGCCAGGCTGACGTGAGACGAGTGTCATCCGGGTCCCCGCTCAGTGCCTTCGTATCCACGCTAGCCCCTGAGTTCCCACTCACTGTGTAGTTGCTCTGGTTTTTCTAAAGAGCCTTAATTATTACAGAACTGTGCACTCTGGGTCCTCCTCAGTGATTGACATTTCTGCAGGAGATTTTGCCTCACCAGGCATCTCTTTGTTTTGAACTTTGCAGGTTAAACAATGGCTGCACAATTGTCTTAGCATTCCTGAAGCCTGTGTAAAAGGGGCTGTTTAGTAAGTGGTCCTGCAGGAATCTCAAGCAGGTGGAAACCCAGCAAGGTGATGATAGGACCTGCTTCTCGAGGGCACTTGAAGAGAGCCCGCTGTAGCCGAAGGTGCGCGGCTCCTCCGTGTTCAGCACTGTACTTACCTAGAGGGGACAGGATCATTCTCCCCATGTGATGTTTCTGGCCGGAGGATCTGGGAACCCTCGCTGAGGGGCATGAGCTAAGCACAGACATTTGGAATAACCTTTAGGGAGCTGTGGCGGGTGCCTGATTGTATTCCTTGAAGCCTGAGCTGATGCCTCGTAGTGGCAGCTCTAGGGACCCGACCAGCTGTGAGTGTGTAGGTTCCCGAGGGCTGGCCTCGAATGACGTGCTCAGTGGTCATCGTCCCCAGACCTGAGCCTGCACAATTACGGCAAGATTGGACAGGTTAAAACCCCACACAGTAAGCCTCCTTGTGTAGGCTTGGGTTTCTTATTAAAAATAAATTCATGCACTTTAATTTTTTTTTACAGGATGTGAAGTTACCCCAGATGTAAACATTTCAGGCCAAAAATTTAACATTAAACTCCTGATCCCAGTGGCAGAGGGCATGAATGAAATCTGGCTACGCTGTGACAACGTGAGTTCCCAGCTTAATAAACCTCAGTGTTCTCCCGAGTCATGAGCGACCCACCGTGGGGTGCACACGGGACGAGTGATTGGCTGTGTGGATCTTTCCTCCCACCAGGAGAAGCAGTACGCACACTGGATGGCGGCGTGCAGGCTGGCCTCCAAGGGCAAGACCATGGCGGACAGCTCCTACAACCTGGAGGTGCAAAACATCCTCTCCTTCCTGAAGATGCAGCACCTGAACCCAGACCCTCAGCTGATACCAGAGCAGATCACCACCGACATCAACCCCGAGTGTCTGGTGTCCCCTCGCTACCTGAAGAAGTACAAGAACAAGCAGGTAGCTGGCGCACTTTCTCCATTGTTTTGTGCTGGTTTGTTTCATGTCCCCTCAAATAAAATTTTTTAATTTCCTATCAGCTGGTTAGAATAGAAAATTTCCAACTGTATATCAATTTAATAGGACAGATAATTGAGCAATAGTTGACAGCCTATAAGGAAACTTGCTTTATCCACCCTGTTCAGAATTCCTTTTCTGGAAATTAACACCATAAAAGGGTTGCTATTCAGGAAAATGGTTTCTTAACATCAGAGAAGAGTCCTTTGCAGGAGACCTGCCCCAAGGGGCGGCCCTAGGACCCTGTAGGCCAAGCAGCAGGCCCCAAACAAACCCTGAACTTGAGGCTGGGGTGGGAGCAGAGAAAGCCTTTAAAGGTGGTTTTTTCTCTAGTTTTGTTTTTATCTTCGTTCAGGAATGATTTTTAGACATATGAGAAATGTTCATTGAAATACCAAGAACACTTAACTGATTCCTTAACTTTTGGAACGGTTATCATGGGTCAGAAATTATTTAGCTGGAAGTCTTCAGATGTCATACTCAGCGTGTTTGCGAGCTGCGTGGGGCGTGTGTAGCTCAGTCATATGACACGCGGGAGTGTGGAGGCGGTGCCGCCCTGGAGAGATGCGTGGAATGTGGATTGGAAGCTAAAAAGGGAGAGTGAAGCAAGCACTAGTTCTCATTTTTTATTACTAGATGTTTCACTTAACAAGTACTTGTTTCTCAAGTGAATCCGTCGGCCTTCAAAGGCAAGGAATAATTTCAAGTCCTAGTAATTTCATCACTCACTGTCGGGTACCAGAATGAGAGCGCGCAGAGTAGATGGAGGGTGCCCAGTGTTGGTTTTGTTCTCAGCGTATGCACGGGCCTGTTTGCTCAGACGCCTTTAAACTAGTGCTCCCTCTCTGCTGAGAATTCTCCTGCGGTTAAGGAGGGTGTTTGGTCAGCAGCACGTGGGTGGTCCTTGGTTAATGAGCCTTCTCCATGTTGGCGTCTCCCCAAGTGCGCATTCTTTTCAAAGCTAGGCTCACAGGTTGTTCCCTGGAGGCTGGCACCCAGCCAGTACCTAGAGACAAACCTGTGGCTTCTGTGTCGGGCACCACGCTGGCCACCGCACAGCCGGCCGAGTGCTGCCGCACGCTCCAGGCGTTTCCCTCGCTGGTCTATCAGTGTAACCTTTGTTAGACTGCACGGACTTCACTTTCTCCGGTTACACATACATGGGCTAAACGTGCTATGGCTCTTTCTAAATAAAAGGCTTGTTCTTTATGTTTATCTATTAATCCAGATGAACGCCTGCTATGTTCATAGCCACTGTTGGTAGCGTATGGCATCTCTGTATTTTCCCTTCCAGGAAAAAGGATGCAAAAAGCAGATGGTAACTGAGCTTTGTGTTTGGGTGAACAGACAGCACAGGCCCTGCACTCGCGTTGTGCGTTTTCTTACTTGTGAAGCAGTGCATGGAGCGTACTCTGACTAAATCTCAGAAGACTGGCGGGGCTGTGGCGAGCGCAGCTTCCGTCACTACTAAAATCATTAGCTTCTCCCTAACCAGAAGAACCTGGTCCACTGGAGGAGGGAGGTGTACTTGCTCTTTTTATTTTCGCCCTACAGATGTCTACCCTGAATTCTAGTAACACTTAACATTCTAAAATCACGTCGAGTGGGCCTGGGCCTCGGTATTCTAGAGGGAAAGTAATTGCTGCTTCCGCATTTCCATTTTCATTCTTGCATTTACTTTGCTTGGTTTCCACCTACAGTAATTTTTGCATGGTTTTTGGCTGGAATTTTGGTTTGCAGGTACCGCAGCTTTTTCTTTGCCTCAGTGCCGTTTTTTTCTGATTGCCTCTTTTTTTTTTCTTTCCGCTTCCTTTTTCTTTCCTCGCATTGCCATCTACAGCCAGGCTATATAAGAGATTTGGTAAGTTCTCCATTTTACAAGAAAGATGAAATGTTAAAACCATAGCCACAGCCTGTCCTCAAAGTGAATAATATAATTACTAGAAATTTCTAAAGTTACTTTTAAAATTATAAAGTGATCAGTATATTGTGCTTTTAAGTACCTTAAAGCTGTAACGAACCGCTAGAAACTTGTATTCCAGGGGCTGCTTCTGATCCGTGTGTTGTTGCTCCATTTAAACTCCTGTGTGTGGAGCAGAAGGCCCGTTTCAGCACAGAGCAGTTACAGACACCTCCCAGTGCTCTTGATACACAGTAAGCAGGAATGTGCTATGCTTAGACAGTGCATATTACTTCATTACAATGCGTAGGGTCACCTATTCCTCAGTACTTACTGGGCAGGGCAATCCCAGGATCAGGAAGGTGGCTTTCCCAGGGCGAGGCTCAGCCGTTGCCCCCCCAGATGTGCTGACCTCTGCGAGTTCCCCAAGTGCAGGAAACACTGCATAATTGGTGGTGGTGGGGGGACTCTCTCCTAAACAAAAAATTGATGTATTTAGTTGACACATAGTATCAAAGGGGTACTTCAAAAAGTATTTTTTGTGCAGTACTCATTTTCCCGTATGCTTTCTGAAGGCCTCTCACATCTGTGCAGGTTGATATATAATTCAGTCCCTTGATGTTTATATCTTGATTCTACTGTGAAAGAATAATTTGATTGTAAAAGGTGCTATTTATTTTCCTTCAGATAACAGCAAGAATCTTGGAGGCCCATCAGAATGTAGCTCAGATGAGTCTGATTGAAGCCAAGATGCGATTTATCCAAGCCTGGCAGTCATTACCTGAGTTTGGCATCACACACTTCATTGCAAGGTCAGTGGTCCCACTGAGCGTCTACGTGTGCACCTGAACGTATGCATTTCTGCTGCTCCTGCTTCCACCCATTAACTTGTACAGTAAAGCAGTGTTGAAATGTGCAACTATTTTGTGTACCTTCAATTTTTACATTGAAAACAAAATGGCCAGTGCTGGGCTGATCTGAAGCCAGGATTCAGGAGCCCCTTCCAGGTCTCCTCCGTGGGTGCAGGGACCTGGATCAGAGGTGGAACAGCCATCCATATGAGATGCTGGTGCCACACCTCCTCCGCCACAGGGCTGGCCCCTAAATGTTTGTTTTGATGCCACAGGTTCCAAGGGGGCAAAAAGGAAGAACTCATCGGAATTGCATACAACAGGCTCATTAGGATGGATGCCAGCACGGGAGATGCTATTAAAACATGGCGTTTCAGCAACATGAAGCAGTGGAACGTAAACTGGGAAATTAAGATGGTACGTTCCACGTTAGCTAAACCCTCCTTCTGCCAAGATCAGGAAATTGAGACGAGACAGTACAGACCGTGGTTGGTGTTCACTCTCATTTAACCGTGCCTATTTATATCCTTAGAATTTTAATCACTGCACTCGTTATCGTGTGCTTAGAATAGTTATCTTTTTGTGCTTCCCCCCTGCGATGGAGAAATACCTTCCACTCCCCTCCCAGTAGCAGCTGCTGCTACCACACGCCCGCCTGCGTGCCTGCCTCAGTGCCGGCTGTTTCCATCGCACTCTGTCTTCCAGGGTGGATGGAGTCACACTTGCTTTAGCAATGAGGACACGGAAACAAAGAGCCCTCCTGGTCCCTGACCACACCCTCGGCTGAGTGACAGTCGGGACTCTCACTCGGGGCTTAGGCTCTAAAACCTGGGTCGTTTACCCCGTGAATCATGTTGCCTTCATGATGCATAACTAATGCTAAATACGCATCATCTGCTCGTCCGGAATCACGTGGGATTTGTGGTATCAATTTCTGTCACTTGATAGAATCTGGTTTCCCAAATAACTCACCCATGATACCTAAAGGTCGAATATCCTAAAGCAAATATGAGCTAAACCACAGGAAGTAGGTTTTCTCCCAGGACTTGAAGGGAGAAGTTCCCAGTAACTGACTCAGAGGCCCCTTGGGAACATAGTGACCTAAAGCCCCCGCGTCCAGTCCTCCTCTCCAGAGCATGGAAGCTCGTAGGAGGAGCTCGTAAGCCTGCTCCTGTGGACTCAGGCATTACGCTGGCCAAAGCTTGGAGAAGTGCTCGGTGGCAGCATACCTGCAGCAGCGCTGACGCCTCTTTCCTTTCTCTGTCCCCGGTCCAGGTCACGGTGGAGTTCGCAGATGAAGTACGGTTGTCCTTTATTTGTACCGAAGTCGACTGCAAAGTCGTTCATGAATTCATTGGCGGCTACATCTTTCTGTCAACACGGGCAAAAGACCAAAATGAGAGTTTAGATGAAGAAATGTTCTACAAACTCACCAGTGGTTGGGTGTGAATAGAAATACGTGTATTGAAGCACCACGGCCATTACAATATTTAACTTTAAAAGCTGTTGTTTGTTATATGCTGCTTAATAAAGTAAGCTTGAACTTTATTATTTTATCATGAAAACTTTTTGCCTTACTAGACCGGTTGATATGTGCACTAACGAGCACGACTATTAATCTGCTATCTTGATACAGTATATGGACTGTGGAATACGGCACACATTCCTTAGGGCCATGAATTACAAACTGAAATAGTGGGCAAATCAGGAACAAATGGTCACTGATTTAAGCTAGCCGAACTGTAAGAAAAAGCCATCTACTTTAAAGCTATCCAGGGCATAACCGATATGAAGTCTATTTATCATGTTTAATGCATGTGTTTTAATGTATGTTTAATTTGATGTCATGTTTTAATATATCCTACTCCCAGGTAGCCATGTGGCCCCTCACCCCGCCCCCCAAAGTAGAAATCAAGCCTGCAAAAGATGCCTGTTACTTAATAGCGTCAATGTTTGACCTTGAAGGAAAATGCTGTTTGTCTGTTACTCTTGGTTTGTTTTTGTCCTCGATGAAGCATGTATGTATATTGTCTTGTTTTTATTTTTACACCATACTGTATTATGACACTTTTAGTATTCACCAGCATATCACTGTCTGCATAAAATATGCAACTTTTGCATTATACTATGAAGTAAGGTCTATGAAGTATGCCTTTTGTGTAACTAATGTACAAACACAAATTTTATAAAATTGTACAGTTTTTTAAAAACTATTCAACTAGCAAGTGGCTTCAACAGCATCTTTGCATTAATTCAATGCTTTTAAAAGTCTGGTTAATATGCAGTTTTAATATCTGCTAAATGAAGAACTACTTCATGATGGTCATGATTTGCCACAGTGTCCTTAACTCTGATGCCTGGACTGGCCCTGTCCGAGTCTGTTGCGCTGTTACAATCTGCATTGGTGCTAGTCAGAAAACTCTGAGCTCACACAGCCCACGAGGGTGCCAGGGAGGGAGGATTACCAGTATTGTCCAATAATCCATGGTTTAAAGACTGTATAAATGCATTTTATTTTAAATAAAAGCAAAACCTTTTATTTAACATTTCTTTGGCAGTTATTTCTAAAAAGCTATGCAAACAGTGACACGGGATGCTGCGTGTGGCCCGTGTTGCACGGTGACACAGACAGGGCCTTTACCGCCAAGGCTTCTCAGTTGCGCTGAGCAGCCCTCATGTGTTCTAGCCTCAGAGATGTAGTGAACGGCTAGGGTGGTGGGGCAGCAGTGCTAGCAACCCATAGCGGAGCACGTGCTTGCGTCTGAGCTGCTCCGGTTCTGATCCAGCTCCCTGCTAATGCACCTAGGAAAGCGGCAGACAATGGCCCAAGTAGTTGGGGCTCTGCCCTCGTGTGGAAGGCCAGGATGACACACCTGGCTTCCGCCTGGCCTTCCCCTGGCCGTGGAGCCATCTGCGGATCAGTCTTCTTTCAGGCTCAAAATTCAGTCCTAAACGTTATTCTTACCGCTTGCATAGAACCAGGCCTTGTGGGTCCGTTCATCACTGTCGCTTCCCTCTGAATCCAGTCTGTTCTGCTTTTCTTTGCACTCAGAAGCCACTCGGAGCAAGCCTTGCTCCAAGATGGAAGAGTTCCTCCCCGGCGTCACTTGCTAGAAGCCCGAAATAGACCGGAGGCTCCGGAGTCCCACTGCTGCCACACCCCGTGCGTGGGCTGTCACCGGCTTGCCTCACTGCCCTCCCAGTGACTTTAAGATTATTCAGGCCTAGCATAGCCCTGGCTGTGTCTCAACTCATGACTCGCAAAGCCCAGGAGCCCCATCAGGTCCCTGCAGGGTCTGTGCCTTCCCAGCTGATCCCCCGACAGGGCTCACCCCACCCCCATGCCAGCCCTCAAGCGGGGGGTGTCCTTATCCCTGCACCTTCTTCAGCCTCCACCAGTTCAGATCTCGAGCATTTTTGACTTGAAAGAGCTCAAAGCACTCTCTCCTCCCTGAAACTGAAATTTCCTTGCAGCCCAAAATTCCCCCTCCTCAGAACTGCCGTTGGGTGGGTCCTTCACGGACCTGCGGGGCGCGCGTGGCACCCTGCTGCCCTCAGTAAATTACTGCTTTTGGTCCGAGCACCGCAGCTCCCACCTGAGTTCACAGTGCACGCGGAGGATCCAAAATAGTTTCACCTGTACTGAACTTGTATCCCTTCCTTCTTACGCCCTAAGCAGTACAATACAACAACTACTTACGTGTCTTATGTTTGTCGGGTATCTTAAGTAGTGCAGAGATGACATAGAAAATGCATGTAGGTTACATGTAAGTATGGCACCGTTTCATACGAGGGCCCTGGGACCCCGAGGAGTGCTGGAGACAATTCCCTAAAGACGCCAGGGACTCCATTTTTTTCTGGAATAGAACGGTTATTCTGGAAGTCCAGGAATGACTTGACTACAGGTTTCTACAGCCTCAGAATAGCTGAATACAGAGGCCGTTAGCTGCACACCAGCAGTGCTTAGGACGGGAACCAAGTGCTTTTGATACCAACTCGAGCTTCTCCGACTCCTTTGTGATAGAAATTGACAAGGGGCCAAACCTTAACCCAGGCGAGGTGATGGGAGGCGCGTGCCGGAGCCCCAAGGAGCAGGTGGAGAGAAGTTCTGCCGCTGGGCTCCCGGAAGGAGCTGCACTGCGGTTCTCGCTGGCTTGGAGCTGCACGTGTGCACCCTCTGGGGCTCATCCCCTGCAGCATGCGGCTTCAGTGGGCGCCGGGCTCGGTGTTGGTGCAGGCACTGTCACTTGCTCACTGCCGCCTCCCCAGGAGGGTCACGTGTTGGTCACACTGGGCTATTCTGGGCAAGCCTTGGGACAGTCCCTGCCAGGCAGTAGAGGGTCTTTTGTGGTTAGGGTTTGGACACGCCTTGCTCCCAATTGGTTTGGAACTGGGTGGAGCAGCCTGTGGTCGGTGATGGATATACTGATGTTTCCAAGGCTTGTTTCTATCCTGTCTCACTTTGGAGCTTCCCCCTTTGCTAGACAGGGCCTGAGAGGCCAAGCGACTGCTTACAGTCACACCGCTCCAACCCGCGCCCAGGCAGAGCTGCAGGGGGAAGCCAGGGTTCCAGCTCCCTCTCTAGCTGTGTTACAGACAGACCTACTGGCAGTGGCTTCTCTACAGAGCTCACGCAGGCCTGGGACGAGAACATTGCGGAGACCTAGGTTCCCGTTTCTGTCGTTGGCAACTCAGGTTCACGTGGACTTCAAAGCTCAGGCAACTGGACACGGCCCAAGCTCCCTTCCAACTGTTTGTCTTAGGGCAGCGGGTTAGAGACCTGCCAGAGGCCCCTGGTGTAGTTAATTAGTAATCCTCACTCACAACAAATATTTTCTCCACAACCTTGAACTTCAGTCAAGGAGCTAGAAACATGAACTTTGCAGGAGAAAAGCCACGTAGAGTTCTTGGCTCTCCAGCTCTGTCACAGCCCAAGACAAAGACTCTTCTCCCCCTGTTCCCTGTACCCACCTTCTACTCTCTCTCATCTTCGAGTCTTTCAGGGACGCCTTAAATTAATTATTGAGGTAGTAGGATTAAGTGAACCTGGATTCCTGGCCATTAATTTGTCTGAAAAACACCACACAGTGAAATGTCTTAAGTCCTCTACACTGTAGCTACAGTGAACATAATGGTTTCTCAGTAAAATGTGAGGATTTTGTGCATTTTTTTTTTACTTCCTCCTGTCTTCTGGAATACATCTCAAGCCGATGCCTTTTACAGTCATTCCTACCCATCATACTTAACATTTGAAAAGTGATGTAGCTGTTTTTAGACTAATCCCTAAAAACATGACCCCAGCCTTCCTACACGGCAAAGCAAACGACAGAGTGAAGAGGCAGCCCACAGAATGGTAGAACCCGTTTGCAAGCCACACATCCTACGAGGGATTAAGACCAGAATGCACAAGGAGCCCAATCAGAAAAATACCTCAACAATCTGACTTTAAAACAGGGCCAGCGTTAAGATGCCTGTGTCCCACACAGCGTGGGTTCCTCTCCCCGCTCCAGCTCCTGCCAACGCGGAGCCTGGGAGGCAGCGGTGATGGCTCGAGCCGTCGGGTTCCTGCCACCCACACGGGAGGCGTATTCCCCGCCTCTACCTCCAGCCCAGCCCTTGTGGGCATCTGGGTCATTCTTTGTCTCTGCCTCTCAAAAGTCCTTGCATTTAAAAAGCGAAAAATGTTAAACTGACGTTACTCAGTAGACACAGATGGCCAACAGGTACATGAAGCAGTGTTCAGCATCACTCACTGGCAGGAAATGCAAATTAAAGCCACAGTCAAGTATCACTATTCTGGTTAGATTAACTATTAGAAACACACACACACACACAGGTACCGGCAAGGATGTGGGGAAAAAGGAACCTGGAGCAGTGGTGGTGGGAACGTAGGCTAGTACAGCCTCGGCGGGGAACAGGATGGGAGTCCTCAGAACACCAGGAGCAGAGCTACCCCGTGAGCCGGCAGCCCCACTCCTGGGTACGTATCCGTGGAAATGCAATCGCTCCATTCACAACAGCGGGAAGCGGCAACAGCCTAAAGTGCCTGTCAGTTGACGAACAGATAGAGAATGTGGTATATGTAAAGAATAGACTATTTAACAAGGTGAAATCTCGGGGTTAGCGTTGTGGCGAAGCGGGTTAAGCCGCTGCTGGCAATGCCGGTCGGTGTCTCACATAAGTGCTGTTCGAGACCCTGCTGCTCTACTTCCTATCCAGCTCCCTGCTAATGGCCTGGGGAAGCAGTGGAGGATGGCCCAAGTGCTTGGGTCCCTGCCAGCCATGTGGGAGGCCCAGATGGAGTTCCAGGCTCCTGGCTTCAACATGGCCAAGCCTCAGCTACGGGGGCCACTTGGGGATGGAAGCAATGCTCTTTCTCTTTCAAATAAAATCCTTTGTTTAAAAAGAAGTGTAATCTTATTATTTGCAACAATATAGATGAAACTGGATGTCATAAGGTAAGTGAAATAAAATAAGCACAGACAAGTCTCACTCTAGGAATCTAAAAAGTTGGTCTCATGGGCTAGTGCTGTGGCATAGTGAGTTAAGCTGCCACCTGCAGTGCCAGCATCCCATATGGGATGGGATCCAGCTGCTCCACTTCTGATCCAGCTCTCTGCTTATGGCCTGGGAAAGCAGCAGAAAATGGTCCAAGTGCATGGGCCCCCTTGGCCCCCTTGGCCCCCACGTGGGAGACCCAGAAGAAGCTCCTGGCTTCTGGTTTCAGCTCAGCTCAGCCCAGCCCAGCCCTGGCCGTTAAAGCCATCTGGGAGTGAACCAGCAGATGGAAGACCTCTCTCTACCCCTCTGACTTCAAATAAATACATAAATCTTGGAAAAAGAAAAGTTGATTGACAGAAGTTGCAAAGTGAATGAGGGTTACCAGAGGCTGGGGAGAAGAGTGGGGAGAGAGAGACAAGGAAGGTTATTTAGTGGGAATTACGTTACAGTTCCGTGGAAAGAAGTTCTGGGGTGTTGTTGCTCAGAAAGGTGACCACAGATGACCAGCCCTGGCCGTTGAGGCCACCTGGGGAGTGAACCAGCAGATGGAAGACAACACTGTCTCCCTCTCTAACTCTACTTCTCATATAAATAAATCTAAAAAAAAAAAAAAAAAGTTGTGGCCAGCGCTGTGGCGCAGCAGGTTAATGCCCTGGTCTGAAGCGCTGGCATCCCATATGGGGGCCACCAGTTCGAGACCCGGCTGTTCCACTTCTGATCCAGCTCTCTGCCATGGCCTGGGAAAGCAGTAGAAGATGGCCCAAGTCCTTGGGCCCCTGCACCCACATGGGAGACCTGGAGGAGGCTCCTGGCTTCAGATCAACGCAGCTCCGGCTGTTGCAGCCAATGGGGGAGTGAACCATCGGATAGAAGACCTCTATCTCTCTGGGCCTTTCCCCTCTCTTTAACTCTTTCAAATAAATAAATCTAAAAAACAGGGGCTGGCACTGTGGTGTAGCAGGTAAAACCATTGCCTGCAACACCAGCATCCCATATGGGCACAGGTTTGAATCCCAGCTGCTCCACTTCTGATCCAGCCCCCT